TCGTTACCCATTCAGATCGTTTATTAAAAGCGGAAGTCGGGCCGTCCCATCTGTGTGGTATTGCAACATGAAAAGTCACATACATTACTAAGGAGACCCCACAGAATTGAGAGCCTTTCAACAGTACAGAGCCATAGATTACAAAATTAAAATACAAATGATCGCCCAAGTTTGGCAGGAAACGTACAATATGAGGAGGCCTGGAATGGAAGGGCACTTGCTTTTCAATAAGGCAGTTACAAAATGGAAAAACCCACACCCCCCAAACACTCTGATGGGCACAAATGTACAACAGGGTCCTGTACAGCCCTGTCATTGGCAAAGATGTGTTCGTTAAGTGAAAGCAACTGAGGCATGTGTGTTTTAAGATGCAAGCTAGATGAAAGAACTGATCGTAGACATTTCTACCTTAAGAAAAGGTCCCACCTGGCCCCAGTCTGCATTCTACCTGAAAACACCAGATCACCTCTACTGTTCCTAACCATAAATGTGGCAACAGTCAGTAATAAAAGGAAAGGAATAAAAAGGCCCCTAAAGCACTGTGCTTCCCAGGGCATCATGACCTTGAGCTCACCTGTCCTCCTGTTCAACTGCTTGGCTTAGTAACAGGGGCTGGAAGGCTGCGAATCTCAAGGCTACAGAGCTGCGTCTGTCCAGTGAGGAGCGACAGTCACACATGCTCCGAGGATTACCTGAAACGCTGGGATCTGACGGACAGGTCTCATGGGCAAGTCCATTTCATGGGAATTTAGATTCTAGGACAACACTGAGTATCCCGCCTGCACTTTTGAGTGCTGGTCTTAAGTTGTAAGTGAGCTCTGCTTGCTTCTTTCATTTGTTTGCAAAACTGATTGCTTTTTTAATCACTCACTCAGCCTTGAGTTTGCAGGTTGGTCTTGGAAACCTCAGGCCAGTTTCAAGGTCTTGAGAAACAGAGGCAGGCCACTTTAGACTGAATTAAGTCACAATGCAGGTCAGAAAGTGAGCGGGCCGGGAGGACAGAGGCGAGTCCAGAAAACATTGCAGGACTCAGGGAAGTTCTTTTTGAATTTTAGTTTCCCCATCTCTAAAAATGAACTGGACTACAGCAACCTTACAGGACTTTCTAGCTTGAAAACATGGTGCTTCTCTGACACTGAGGCCTGTGGTTCCCCGACTTGCCCAAGTTCCTAAGCTCTGTCTCCTCAGTAAAAACAGTACGTGCTGTACTTTTACGAATCTTGCGGCGTAAGCCTTCAGCAGCCATGGAAACTTCAAATACCACATAGAGCAACATTTTAAAGTTTTCTAGCTAAAATTTTTCCTAAGTGATGCGAGCATCAGTTTCTGTGGGACAAACACAGCACTGGGCCTCCTCTGTGCTGGCTTTTTTCCCATCAGGCCAATAGCATCCCAGCCTCTGCTGACGTCAGCTTCAGCAAGCACAGGTGAGCGCAACCAGGCCGACGGGGTTTCCCCAGCATTCTCCACAAGGAGCTATGTGCACCAATACTCAGAGGCTGGAAAGTCAGAACACCAACGTGTCTCTGCTAGCTACTTCTTTTAACAAATCACCTGTTATGCCCTGGGACAGTGTCAGCAAGCAACTAGGTCCTTGGCCAAGATGAGCAACTTATTCCACGTGGCCTGTATTGGGCAGAGAATCATATGGAAGTCACAGAGAACATAGAAAAGCCAGAGGTTTACAAAGATAGAAACACACTCCTGGGAGGTAGTGAGTTCTCTGTCCTCAGAGGTGTTTAAGCCCAGACTGCTCAAACCCTTGGTGGGACAGTTGTAGGAAGAATGTCAGCACCTATGGGGAGACTGGACTGTGTGATTTAAAGCCCCTTTCCCGACTTCTAGATCTTGTCATTGTACTGACCGAGGGCCCTCAGGTGGTTTCCGTGAAGCCACTACTCTGGCTCGGGAGAGCCTGTTATAATAGGCAAGGCCCCCAGAGTAAGCTGCTCTTCCTACCTCCTGCCTTCCACCAGGCAGTTGTCCTGTAGGATATTAACACAAAAGCCCCCAGAAAACAAACAGCTGAAATGCCAAGGTTGGATGCAACATTACGACCACAGACAGTTATTAGTATCTGTTCTCAGGAAGGCTAGCAGTGAGTATTTAGCTATGACAGGACCATCCAGCAACGCAGCGGCTGTAACACGTACTGAAATTCCTCTTCGTTTTGCACTGCCAGTCTTGAATCCTTCGTTTCAGTCTTGCATGAGATTCAGTTATGATTGCTGCCAGCGTAAGTTTGTTCACTGAAATAAGAAGTTTGTCCATTGGTTTTTTAAAAATCTTTAAACGCAGCCACATGGATAGCAGGATATTGGCACGTCCACGTGACGACCTTCACGGCATACGGAGAACCACACCAGGCCAGAACTGAGGCAGGGACCGTAATCTTTAAGAAGACAACACCAGTTCTATTTCAAATTCCAGTTTTTCCCAGGAGCACCAGGAGGAGAAAAGGCAATGTTGCAATGTTACAGGTGGAGAGAAGCACGAGAGTCCTTGACAGGCGGCATAAAAATGCAGGCAGCCAAGATGGACACTCTTCCCCAAAGCCCCACTGCTCCCTGAGGCCTGACCCGGCTGCTCTGCGGGGCCTGGCCATTTCCAACAGGCAGAGGTCTCCTGCCCACAGACCAAGCTGTGGGGAACTGCAGAAGAGACTAAGGCAAGTGGTTTAGTGGTTTGATGAAAGAACAGACTTCTGCACACACGACAAAAGTGAGTTCAGGAAGCTTTGTCTTTTCTCTCACCTTATGTGTTTCCACAGGTGAAACAGATACCCACAATCTCCACTTCCCAAAAGCAGCTCTTTAGAGGGAAGACGGCACGCGACAAGTGTACACAGCATCTGGCTGAAGGCGGCAAGTTTCCCCAGGTTCCCTTCGGAACAAAAGCATTCTTACAGACACGCTTGCACGGAGGGATCCTAATACCGTATTCTCTTACAGAAATGCACCACTGTCTCTCTCAACTGGGAAAACAGATTTGCTGCTAGAAAAACAGTGACGTGACCTACACATTCATCATGTTGGTTTAAACATCAGAAAGACACACTGTCTCTCTCAGTAAGATAGGGACTTTTCCAGAGAGCAGGTTTCTGATGCCTTAGCCCGTAGGCTCAGCCGCCCCCAGGCTCCAGTCTGATGAGTAAACATGCCCCTGAAAGAGGGGACTTGGTGTCTTGGTGTGACACGCCAATGACCTTTCTAATTTAGCCTCTCAGAAATGAAACCTACATAAGCCACACACCTTTGAGCCTTCTTGATGCCTACACATCAACACCTTTCAGCTATAAGCAGTGAGACAACATCTAAATACGTACTGGATCTGAATGACTGAACACTCGGAGAGCACCCTGACGTGCCATCCACAGCCAGGTGCATTAAAATAAGACCCTCTCAGAGTCTAGAGTATGTTCTATGTACATTCATTTATACATATTTAGAAAATGCAATCTGCTAGCCATGCATTTTGGACACAGAAGGAAGCTTTGCTGCAATGGAACATGCTGCGCTTTAGGGAGAGTGGTGGCCCTGTCCTCAGGCCACCGAAAGCGTGGCACTCGGCTCCACAGACCTGAACCCACCGCCCAGCTCAGCGGGGGTTTCCACGCTGACTTCTCCGGGTTGCACTCAGACCCAGCTGTGCGGTGTGAGACACTGTGGCTCTGCCAGGCCGGGCTGTCCGCGGCTCCTTTTAGTACTTAAGGCTTAAGAAAGAACTCAGATTTAGAACCGAGTAAAAAAACAGTATTTTTGACCACAGTGTATGTCAAGATGGTCAGAAATTAGCATCCACATCCTTCTCTTTTTCTCCCATTCCCTGCCCCAAACACACTGATTAGAAAATTTTGGAAAAGCAGACATTTGGATATAAAGCTTTGTTTTCAAAGGATACTTTGGTTATGACATAATTAGAGAGGAAGCTGAGTTTTTGAACATAAAAAAATTGGGTAATTAATACTTAAAAAATCATTTTAATAACCTTTCTCCCTAAAAGGGAGGTTTCTCCCTAAAAGGGAGGCACACTGCTCATGAAAACGAGTGCACCAGAAGGGCCCCGATCTTCGTTGCTCACACCGTGGTTTACTGCTGACCCCTGGGCCCAGGGCATTGAGGCCAGCCAGACTTCCGTCCCAGAGCTGGGCTTCTGAGCAGGAATCACATGGTCCTTGGCAGCCTTCTCGGTGGTCCTGACCTAGGGATTAGCACTTCTGAGAACACGGGCCCCAAACCTCTAAGTATCTCCATTCGCCAAGGCATTTACAGCCCCAGAGAGTGGCTGAAGTCTTAGTGCATAACTTCACCCCAAAGAATGAAGCATAAAAGGGTGTGCAAAGGGCCACATCTCCTTCCAGGTCTCTCTGCACCTGTGTTTCTGGAACCCCCCCAAATACAGCTTGGCACAGGTGGCTGTCCTGAGGTGCTCATTTGATGTGAAACCTCTTGTCGGTCCATCGGGACTTCCTCCACACTAGAAGTTAAGTGGTGACCCACAGAAGTTGCAGAGGTCTCACTAACTAAGGTTTTGAAGCACGTGTTCAAGGCTGGCACCCTTAGTGACAGCTCGATTAGCCAACAAATCCCGATGGAGCGCCTACTGTGCGTAAGGCACAGGGCCAGTTAGGGGATGGGGGTCAAGCTGATTTGCTGATCAACAAAGCCTGTGACAAGGCGGGGCCTCCGCGGCCCCAGCATACCAGGGGTCTGCTCACGCGCCTCCTCCATCACCGGTACCCTGCTGTCGTCACAGCGCTAGATCTCACAGGTGGCAGAATGGGATTACCAGGTGACTCCAAAAATGTTACCCCTCATTTCCAGTAGCACTGACTTAATGCTTTTTTGAATACTGCAATACATAGTTTTTCTTTGATTTTTTTCTATGATCTTGTTTTTTTTTTTTTTTTCAGCCCAGTAGTTGCCTTAAAACAAAGTCTTTGTATACACATGCTGAATCAGGAGAACATAATCCTCCTGACCAAAAAGAGTTACAGTATGTATCATTCAAACGTTTTTATTTATAATAAAACTTAAAAGTCTTTATGGGCTTAAATGTAGCAGATATCACCTGCACATCAAGCATCAACTGCGTTCCTGGAGGATGTGCTGCACCCTCACTCCAGCTGCTTGCTGCCCTCTGACTTCTGGTCCAGTCTGCTCTTGTTACTCTTCACCATGTAGATGAAGTAGGCAAGGGTCTCTTTTTCATTCACAGGTATGTTCCTGAAGTGTCGACTGACAGTCTACATGGAGGTAAAAAAAACAAACACACACACACACACACACACACACAAAAAAAAAAAACCAGGCATAAGTCAGGGCCACGCATCCTCAACTGTGCACAGGAGGAGCCAGGAAGCTGCTCCCAGAGCTGTGGGGGAGGCCACGGCCGCCACAGAACTCCGTGCAGAGCTGCGGGGCCCAGGCTGCCCTCCCTCCCTGCAGTTTAGGTGACTGGGTTTCCAGGCTTCTGAAATCGGGACTCCACCCCTCAACATTCCCAAGGTGTAGTTCTGCGTTACTGGCAGTTGGTCCTATTGCCCATCATGGCATGATCTCCAGGTCATCCCCATGGTGGAAGAGATTGGGACCAATCTGGTTGGCCAGCTGCTACCATAATCTCTCAGGCACTGAAACTTGACAGCAAAGTGTCTTTGTAAAAATTATGTCACATGAGCCCTGACTGGTGGCTCAGTTGCCTGGGTATTGTTCCACAAAGCGAAAGGTCGCCAGTTTGATTCTTGGTCAGGGCACATGCCTGGGTTGCAGGTTTGGTCCCCAGTCAGGGCGTGTGTGCCACCAATCCATGTTTCTCTCCCCCTCTTTCTCTCTCCCTTCCCATGTCTCTAAATAAGTAAGTAAATAAATAAAAATAAAAATAAATATGTTAAACGAACAGCCAACTGAATTCTTAGATGGAGTTCATTTTGAAAGACACACAAAGTTGAAGAAAACTCCATCATGTAGGAAGACACATCTGCTCCCGCCCGACCTCATCCTGTCTCTTCCACCAGGGTGAATGCTGGCTCACGGAGTGCAGTCTGAAAGTGGGAAAGCCTGTGTGCTTCTGTGTTTGACTGGGATGGTGGTGAAGGAGAGGTTTAAGAAAAAATGATGGTTCAGCAATATACCTCTGAGGTAAAGACCAAAAATCAGTGGGGCTGCGAGCCTTTGAAGAAATCTCTGGCCCTGGTTGGTATGGCTCAGTGGACTGAGCGCCAGCCTGCGAACCGAAGGGTTGCTGGTTCAATTCCCAGTCAGGGCACATGCCTGGGTTGCAGGCCAGGTCCCCCGGTAAAGGGCGCACGAGAGGCAACCACACATTGATGTTTCTCTTTTTCCCTCCCTTCCCCCTCTCTAAAAACAAGAAAATATAACCTTAAAAAAAAAAAAAGGAATAAAAAGACTAAACTCTTAAAAAAAAAAAAGTCTGAATGAGCCAAGTGGCTATGACAGAAAAGAGTCAGAGAAAGAACTACAGCGTGGTTATCTCTGGATGGTAGGCTTATATTTTTCTTTTCTCCTTTTTCCAAACTTTCTATGATAGTCAGAAAAGATGGGTGAAAGGGCATCCACACAAGCGCCAGCAGGAGAGAAACATCAGGCCAGGCTGTCCGTGTGTTCAAGCAACGGCCGCCAGGGTAGCCCCCGTCCTCCGCACTAAGCTGAGGACTCCGGGCAGGAGGAGACTCCCCTGGGCCCCATTCATCGCCATGACTATTTCCGTTACCAACATCAGAGTAGAATAAATCAAGTAAAAACAAAAGCCAAAGAAAACCGAAGGAAAATAGCTCCTATAGAACATGAGGGAAGGTTTTGGAATGATTAATTGGACAAACCTGATGTGCAGGAAGGAACCTATCTATAAAGAATCTTGCAAAAACAAGACTCAAACAAACAAAAGAGCACTCAGGACTTAGAATCGGGAGTCCTGAGGTTCCAGGCTGCATTCTGGAATCACACTGGTTTGCAAGCCTTGTCCTCTCTCTAAGGCGTGGTTTCTTTTATGAGCATCAGAGCCTTTCCAGATCTAACACTGTGGGACTCTAAGTTGTTGAAAAGAGGGAACGGAAAGTTGCCTGCAGAGCCATGGAGGGGATCATGATCACCAGGCCCAGAGCAGTGGAGAGGCTCAAGGTCACCATCAGAAGCACAATACTGGCTCTCTTCTTAGAGTGCAATTTTGTCTACCTACTTCTGCTAACTGGGCCTTATTGAAGCCTGGTCGGGTCTGCAGTTTGTAGTGTCGTTTATAGCGTCGTAGAGTGTTCACCTGCAGCTGGAACAGATCAACCTAGAGAGAAGAGGAGAAACACGTTATCCGTCACCTGCCCAACCACCACTCAGTGAGAGCCCACCATGTGCCTGGCACTACCCTAGGTAGGGGTGGGGATGGGGAGGACTACAAAGAAGTCTTAGACATGGTCCACTGAGGACTAATAACTAGCTGGGAGGACAAAAATAATAGTGGAAGAAGAGTTCTGGCTGGGGAGGGTGGTCCCAGAAGGCTGATGGAGGCGGTGAAGCTTAAGCGAAGGAGAGGCAGGATCCAGGAAGGCAGTGAGGAACAGAGCGAGAGTAGGGCGTGAGGGGGAAGATCATGAGCACAGAAAGCCAGGAGATGAATAGACGGGTTAGGGGGTCACAGGTAATCCTGATGGGTTAAACAGTGAGCCTGGATGGTAGTATGTCGGGCACTGTTCCAGGAAGATGGGTCTAGTGGTGGCTTGATGGGTGGGGTGGGGAGAGCAGGCAGAGGGAGATGCTATAGCAACAATCTAGAGTGAGGCGATGAAGTGAAGTTTGGGAGGGGTGGAGATGCCAGAGGGGTACACCAGGCATGGAGAGCGAGCAGAGGTAGAACCAGACAGACATCCTGGAGGAAGACGGGCCCAAGCTTGGCAGCAGACTGGACAGAGGGGCGTGAGGAACAGTGAGAAGTGCTGTTATTCTCCAATAGTTCTTTCCTAGGCTCAGCCTTCAGGCATTAGAATCCTTAACAACCCTCCAGAGAAAGCTCGAAAGCTACTGTGGCGAGTGTACAAGTCGGCAGGTTAGGGTCAGGGTCTCTGCAGGTGGCTGGATAAGAGAGGGGAAAGGACCCCCCCTTTTTCTTCTAACACAGGAAGAGAGGAAAGCTGCACAGTCATGAAACATTGAAGGCCCGGAAAGTTGGGCTGCCTTTACCTGCCTCTAAAAGAGATGTTCTTGCTTCAGGCAGGTGGAGAGCACTTAAAAACAAAATGAATGATCAATATGAGGGACCAAAGTCCTTCCTTCTTTTCAAAACATTCCTCAAACCTTTTATTTTTTGGAAAAGCATTTAGAAATTTAATAATCCATTTCTTTATAAAATATAATAATGCTAAAGGCAATTGAAAGATACATTAAACCAATGCTTAAAAAGGGGCACAGGGCAGGCTGGGGGGAAAGGGCTGCATTTCCAAAGGTTCCCTCATCTGCAGACAAAGGCCCGCCTACTCTCTCTCTTCCTAAAGTCATTTTCCCTGAGTGCTAACAGGCAGTTGCCTTATGAAATGTCCATGCATCAAATATTCAGTGTACACTATAAACGGTTCTTCTTTGCTGAGTCTTAAATGAAAACAATTTAAATAGAAAAAAATCCAGTGCTCCTTCCTGTAGCCTTGCTTAATAGACACAGGCTCTCTGAAGGATAGGTGGCCTTCTGGTGTGAGAAGCCTCGGTCTCCTGCTCTGGTGCAGTGGTTCTCAATGTGGGAGGGTTTTGTCACCCCCCCAACCCCAGGACACCCAACAGTGTCTGCAGACATTGTTTGAAGATCATGACTCAGGGAGTGGTATGACTGGCACCCAGTGGGAAGAATACAAGGATGCTGGCAACATCCTACAGTTCGCAGGACAGCCCCACAACGAAGAATTATCTGGCCATCAATGTCACGACTGCCAGGGGTGAGAGCCCCTGGGGTCCAGTATAATGGACTTGGAACAAGCCTGGAACAGGAATCAGAGTGATAGAAAATCAGAGCTGGTATGAACTGACAACTTATACCTTCAAGTTGCAGATGAGAAAACAAGAGGGAAGTGACTTCCCCCAAACCATACCAACTCAGTCTCCAACTGTAAAGGCAAAAACAAAGTTTTAACACACTGGACCCCGTGGTTGTATTTCACATCTGTCGGGGTTTCTGGAAGAAAAGGCACTGGGGCCCCAAACCATACGTGTGACTCGGGTCCCAGCACCCATATGTAAAACGATGGGGCAGTAGAGTCATCAATTTCTAGGCTTTTAGATCTCAAATTCTATATTACTCTGATTCTATGATGCACTGTTCAAACACACCACGGAAAACAAAGGGACTGAAATTTCCTCTTGGCATGAAGAGAAGGCCAGGCCAGAGGGAAGGACCAGATTAGAGCCCCTCTTCCAGCGTTCGCAGGTGGCCTTCTGTGGCCCTTACCTCAGGAATGTCAGTGTCGTGCTCAGGAGAATCTCCGCCATCGTCACTCGTCTTCCTCTTCCTTTTATTCCGTACGCTCTGGATGAAATTCTTGTGGAAATCACAGATGTACAGGTGCCTTACCTGAGGGGAAGCAAATTAAAGTCAGACTTGCCAATTCCAGGGACACAGCATCTGTCCAGTTAGTGGGCTACTTTCCTCTTCAAGGCATTGGAGGGAGAGAAGGAGCAGCAAAGTACGGGCCATGGTTCCCAGAAGTTTACCACTGGTTTGTGGACAAGAAACCCACAGAGAGACACTGCCATCACGCTGGGAGTGGGGTATAAACCAAGTCCTCGTGGAAAAACAACAGTCCAGATTCGGCGCGAGAGAGCGGCAGGCAGACAGTCAGGGTGGAGGGGAAGCCTTCTGTGTAGAAAGAAGAGCTGCGACTTGGAGCCTCAGACGCAGGCGCAGAAGGCGTGAGTGAGGACACCCCGGGCAGACGGTGCTGGGCAGAGGCGACTGCCCGTGTAAGAGCATGAGGAGAAATTTAGGGCTTGAGCTGCACATGGGAAGAGCTTTGCTTTCCTCCAGACAAGACATAGTCCCCCAAGGTTTTTGAGGCTGGGAGTGACGTGACATTGGAGACCTGCCGGAGTCATGAGCTTAGACGAGAGCAGGAAAGGGACTGATTGATATACAGGGCACCCGGTTTTGACGCTGGTAACAGGTACTGTAGGAGGATGACCCTTCTCTGAAAGACTTGGTTTCTGAGCATCCACGTCTAATTAGTGCACCGCCTCGCATCTGCCCCACAGAGAGACGTGGAGACAGAAGCGGACATTCTCACAAGGTGGAACCGCAGAGAAGCAGCGGCACACTACTGCTGATTTTCTTTTTCTTTTTTAAATATATTTTATTGATTATGCCATTACAGATCTATTTCCCCCCTTCATTCCCCTCCACCCTGCACAGCCCTCCCCCCTTTAGTTCATGAACACGTGTCTCAAGTTCTTTAGATTCTATATTTTCCATACTATTCTTGCCCCCCTATCTATTTTCTACCTACCGTCTATGCTAGTTTTTTTCTGTACCTTCTCCCCCCCTTCTCCTCCTCCCACTCCCCTGTTGCTAACCCTCCATGTGATCTTCATTTCTATGGTTCACTTGTGATCTAGCTGTCCTCTTAATTTGCTTTTGTTTTAGGTGTGGTTGTTAATAACTGTGAGTTTGCTGTCCTTTCACTGTTCATCTTTTTTATCTTCTTTTGCTTAGGTAAGTCCATTTACATTTCATATAATAAGGGCTTGGTGATGATGAACTCCTTGAATTTGATTTTGAATTGCTGGTTTGTGACGCTTATGTGGGGGCGGGTCAGAAAGAGGCCACCCAGGTTGCTGGTTTGTGACACTGTATGTGGGGGCAGGGGCAGAGAGGGACAATGGTGGTCCCCTCTGCCACTTTCTGCCACTGGGGCCTGCATGGTCTGTCTCACTGCTTCGCTCCTTCACCGGTTTATCTGCATGCAAATATGTGACTTTGGTCAGCCCTCAGTGAGTTCACTGCCTTGCACCCTCAGTGGGTCCACCCGCTTCTCCACACCTGGGATCCGTCCATGGCTGCTGGTGTGCCTGGGTCGTGTGCCCAGGTCAGTCTGGTGGATCTTTCCTGCCCAACCCCGCTCTGCTGCTGGCTCTGCCCCTCTTACGGGTTTGGCTGAAGGGTTCATTGCTGTCAGACTTCCATGTAGTTCAATTTTCTGTGGTTTGGCTACGTTTTTGTTGCTAAAACTTTGTTGTTTTTAAACTTGGTTGTGTGAGAAGGCACAGTGCTTCCACCTACACCTCCATCTTAGTGGAAGTCCTGCTGATTTTCTAATACAGGTTGGAGGCAGAACAGTAAGTGAAGGTGGCAATAGCAGCTGAGATGTAAAGAACAGGTTTTTGTTTAGGAGTGTTGGTACCAGGGCTGACTAGAGGAGCCATTCAAGGAACCTAACAGAGAAACTGAACGCCTATGTAAATGGCCTGAGGCTGTTGACACTGAAACAGCTGTTGCACAACTGTTCTTGAGAGGCTTCCGAATTTGAGTTTATTCCTTAAATTCTTAAAGAAAAAAATAAGCTGACAGAAAACCAGCATCCATTAATTCAGGCCTTTCATGGAGAAAATAATGAAAACTCCTTTTTATTCAGATGAACTATCACTTTCATGTGGTTCGAGTAGTGAGTGAGTCAGGAGTAGTTTTTATACTATGATAGTGCCTTGCAGACAGCAGGTGCTCAATAAATGCTGTGGCATCAACATAAGCATCCCTTACATCTAAAAGCAGTTTAGGCCAGTAAAAGTCATCATTTCCATATGGTTACAAACTGGGACAGCTTTGCCAGATGCAACTCTGTCAAAGGACTGTCAGGCCCAGCATGGGTCACTGTCCCAGAGTCCCACCTGTCTGATGCATACACTGCCGGACATCCTTTTATCAGGGGAGCGGCACGCTAGCAGCACACTCCACTTCCCTGCGAGGAAGCTGGCCCTCGTGTCAGCCAGTCCCACTTGTCAACCCAGTAAGCTGCTCCCCCAATTCACAGAGTGACAAACTTGGTAGGAGAAGAGGCAGAAGAGGTGAGTTCCTAAAGCTGGGGCTGGGAGATTTCGGGTTAAGACTCCAGAATCATGGAATGCTAGATGGATGAAAACTTAGCAACCACCTGCCCAAATCTCATTGGCCCCAATCTCATTTTCTAGAGGGATAAACTGAAGCCACCCAGAGCAGGGAAATGACCTGGCCAAGGTCACTCAGGACTTTTGAACCCCAGCACGTGTCCTTTCCTATCCCAACATTTTTCTTACACTATTCTCAATGTCCACTTTTCCCAGAAAAAAAAAAGAAAGCTGAAATATGTCCATTGGAGGGCTCTTTGAAGGAATGTTATAATCTTGATAAATCATAGAACACTGCCAATGCCTGTACGAAATGAGCTAAACTGCCCAAGTGGGATATTTCATGCTATTGTTTAAAAAGGCTCTCTGCTAGACTCTTTTTATGCACTAAGAAGTCATGATTTTTACTTAACCATTTTCAAGCATGCACTGGTTTTCAGAAATTTCAGAGCTCAGTGGCTTTTGATGGGGGCAGCGTGGAGGGAGGGGGGTGAAAAATTCTTGTAACACAGCAGTTCCTTAGAACTGAATTCCTGCCCAAGCCTGTGAGAATGAAATAGAATCCCCTTCAGAAATAATGACTCTACAACACTGCCTTGACACAAATTGTGAGCGATTCCACCTCGAAATCCTACTCCTCCAGAAGCACTGCCTGGTGAGAACTCCAGGGCCTGTCTCAGGCTGGTCTCTTCCAGGCAGCGTGTGTGTGAAACAGTCATCGTGGCACAGCGCAGGGTCTCCAGTGGGATCACCGGGTCGGCGGAACCCCAACTGCCACAGCACAATCACTCAGCTGTGACAGCATCCAAGGGCTGAAAAGAATGGTAAACTTCTTCCTTTATTTTAAGTACTGAAAAATATTATCATTGTAAGCTACTTAAGTAAAGGCTCCCATCAACCTATACAGAAGGTAGGCTGAGTTCACTATTATCTTAGTATTAAGCGTTTCACTTAAACCAGTGACACCTGAGCCACCTTAGTGTCTAGCCAGTTGTTTGTGCTCAGATGAATTTCATTCATTCATTCATTCGTAGAGGTTTGTAATAAGAAAGCCATTAACTCACCCCCAACCATTTTAAAAGAGAGTCGTAGATGTAGTATTATAATTAACTTAAACAATTGGGGTGGGAGGGAAGAGCCTGGAAGAAAGCCCTGGGGCAATTTTTTATTTATTAAAGACTTATGCATGGGGCTTGAAAATAAATCAGATAATGGGTTTAAGAAATTAACCAGCCTGTTGGGTGGTGTGTGACTTTGGCACCGTCACCGCCTGTCTCTGGGCCTAAGTTTCAACCATAAAATCAGAAATGGAAAAGCGGGAGCCCTTTCAGTTTAACAAGCACTCTTTGATTTCCACTAACAGTGGAGAAATTTCACTAAAAGTGAATGTCAGTCTCCCCGAGTATTAAATACCCCCGTAACTCATTTCCAATTCCTAATCAAAACTAAAAAGTCCCTAGTCAGTAGACCAGAGGTATCTCTATAGAATTATTACCTAGAAGAGGTGAGATCACACAGGAAAAGTTTTCCTATAGTTAGGCACAAAACACAGGGCAAGTCTACTCGAACGTAAACCCCTCCTACTGGCCATTTCTAAAGAAGTTACCCCAAAGAAAATGGATTTTCTTCCTTGCAATCACTTGGACAGCAAGAGCCAGCTCTCGAGACCTGGTCTTGGCCCTATTTCTGCCACATGCTTGAAAACCCCATTTCCGTACAGCTGCCTGCGAAGCAGTGAGCTCGGTGGCCCTTTGCAGAAGCTGAGGCCGCGGCAGGAAGGGAAGTAACTGCCACCTTTCCTTTTCCGAAGGAATAGCAGGGCTCTGAGAAGTTGGAGAAGAGCCGGCTCCCTTTCTCACCACCTCCCCAATACTTGTTCCTCTGTGGGTCAACGCAATGAACCCTCCTCTCCCTGCTCGATATCTAAACCAATAAAACGAGCTAAAAACTTGTCAATCTTCCCCGGCAGGAAGGGTCCTAGGAGCACCCCCGCCCCAACCTCCCGGATTTGGGCAGAATTCTAGAGCGAGCAGGTTCGCGCTGAAGCGGCCTTTGAAATCGCGAGTCCAACTCCTCGGTTTTCAGATAAAGGGCAGCGAGGCCCAGGGCGCGGAGGGCCCCGGAGTCCCGCCCGTAGTTGGGCGAGCAGAGACCCGCAGCGGCCGGCGCGGGGACCCGGTCGGGGACGGGGAGACTCACGCTCTTGTCGATGTCCAGCTTGAGTTTCTTCTGCGAGATGCTCTTCTGCACCCTCTTGCTGAAGGAGGCGTTGCCCGCCGGCCGGACGCAGCGCTCGCCGTCCTCGATGAGGCAGCAGCTCTGGCCATAGCCCGGGGCGGCGGCGGGGGCGGCGGGGGGCCCTTCCCGGCTGTCCTCCTCGGTGCTAAAGCCGTTCATCTCCCCGTCCCGGGCCGGCCTCTCGGGGGCGGGCTCCCCTGTAGGCCACTCCGCGGCCGCGATCCCCGCGGGGCAGTCGCCGAGGCCCCCGCGCCCGAGGGTCCCGGAGTCTGTCTCCAGAGCACGCGCTGCGCCGCCCTGCCCCGGGCCCGGAGGGACCGGCTCTGTTCCGCCGTGCTACGGCTCCTCGGACCTCGGCCGCGCGTCTCCGGAAAGCCCCCTTCCTCCCCGGCTCCAGGCCCCGAGGTTGGCTCCCGTGGCTCGCAGGGCCCCGCCGGGGGTCACCTGAAGCTCCTTTTGCCGGGGGCCCAGAACCGTTACCCTTCAGCGGGGACGTCCGGGAGGGCGTCCCAGGAAGCGGCAGCTCCCCGGAGACTCCGGGCCCGGGTTGCCAGAAGGTTTGGAGGGCCCCCGCCGGCTCCCGCCTTCTTTCGGCTGCTGGGCAAACTCACCGCCGGGCAGCTCCCCGGGGGTGGCGCGGCCTCCCGCACGCGGGGCCCGGCCTCGAACCCGTGGCGCCCGAGCCCCGCAGGGCCTCGGGTCCGCCCCACCCCTGCAGCCACTCGGTTGCGCCCCGAGTCCAGCGGCAGCCCCTGGGCCACCCGGCCGCCACCAGCCCAATGCTCCGCACCACAACAGTTCACTGCCCCCGCCCTCCCCTCTACAGCGGAAGTCCCGCCTCCACCCGGCCATTGGTAAGATTTGCTGTCTGGGCGGGGCCGCCGCCGCCGCTGGCGCTTCTCATTGGGCCCTATAGCCGCCAGTCCCAGGTGCCTGGCTACTTCCTGGACTCTGCTGGGATGGATTCAAAGTAGAGAAAGTGGGAGAGGGAAGAGTTCCCAGGCTGAGGGAGGGGAACGGGGCCGCAGACTGTCGTGGCCCAGGAACAGAGGGTGACCAGAGACCAAGCTGGGTGGAAGGCCAGACTCCAGGAACAGAAGATCACTTTAGGGGACGGACAGAAGTACAGACGGGGGCGGGGGCGCAGAGAACTGACATGGGGAGGGGCCTATGAGGGGCACCTAAAGGAGATCGAGGTGCGGTGAAGAGAAGGACCGACTGGGTGAAACGGAAAGACTAGGGCCAGAGGACCCGCAGACCGGTGGGAGGCAGGGTGGGTGAAACAGGACTGAAAGGCAGTCGTGGTGAGAAAGATTGAGGACAAACTCGTAGGGATACATGGAAAGACGTGTAGAGGAGATGATGAGTGTCTGATGGCGGGTCTTGCAAGGTAGTTGTGCTCGAGGGTGGCGGAGACCCCAGTCTGTGGCGACCGGGATTGGCTTGGTCCGCGCGGACAGAGAAGGGGTGGGAGGAAGGCGACCCCCAGGGGCTTGGGTGACCCCTCTACTGAGAAGAATCGTAAGTCGGGATAAAGTCTGGAGGTTGGACTAAGTGGGCCGCAGGGAAGAGGACGGACCGCGGAGCAGATGGAGAAAACGTGGGCGGTGGAGGACCAAGGGCTGATCTCGGCGTGGCTGAGGGCTTGCCGATGTCTTGGGACCTCCCTGGAGCTCTGCAAGCTGCAGCTTCTATTGCTTTAAGCCTCTCGGTCTGCCTGCAAGGTGACCGCGCCCTGCCAAGCCCCGGAGCTTGGGGTTTGGTGCCTAGGGTGTCACACACAGGCAGAAGGGCTGATAGAGAAATTCTGCAGTCAGGCCACCTCTTCATTGGGCGGCCTGGGGACAAGTGAGGGCTGAAGGCCCAAAGGGACTTGCCAGGGCCATATTGTCTTGCAATCATTTAAGGCTGGGTATCTTTTTTTTTTTTTTTTTTTTCGGTGGGGGGGGGAGAACTTAGAGGGATCAGAGAGTGTTAGGTGAGCACATGCACCTATTATGTTAGGTACTAGTTGGCATTGGGGAGGCTTCTGGTTCTGTCGTGTTGAATAAGGGAAAGCTGCTAGTCTCTGTTTGGATGCAGATGCCCTGTGACTTTAAATTTTCCTCAGTGACCCTAAATGTATTTGTGCCATCGAGGAGCAATTTCACGTGGGGACAGCCATTTTAGGAAACTGGCCTACCAGAGAAAATTTTAAACCCCAAAGGGATTATTTATAATAGGAAAAATAACCTAAAACCTCCTCAAGGGAAGTGGTTAAGTAAACTACCTAACATCTTCAAAATGAGATATTCTGCAGTCACTTAAGGTGTTTTCAACATTTGTGGCAGTTTCCACATCAGTGTAAACATTTTCTATGTATAATGATTCAGCACTGACTCTTCAACAAAGAGTCGACGATTTGGAGAAATGCTTTCTGTTGTCAAAAATGCAGGATATAAAATTGCTTATGAGGTATGATATATGTACATCTATGTTTTAAAAAATAAAAAAAACTTTGTACATAAGAAATATATCAAAGTACTAAGAGAAATTATTTCTGGGTAGTAGAAATAGAGTTGATAATTTTTTTCCTTTTGTTCTGTGTTTGCATTGCCCCCAATAAATATTTATTGCTTTTATAGCAGGAAAAATAGAATAAAATTAATGGGGAAAAAGCCACAGTTTAACAGCACTCCTTCCTCAGAGATCCTTTTCCTCAGAAAAGTAAATCATTGACCATACTGTGCATATTCATTCCAGGGCTGGCCACAGGAGGAGGATGAAACCATCCTTGTCCTTGAAGAGGATAGTTTCTAGCAGGGAAGCTCAGACATATACACAGAAAACAGCTGGGGATCTGTACAAGTCAGTGTGTGATCTTGGTTCCAAAGTTGACTGGAATGGGTAAGAGGTCTACATTTTCCACGTTAGTTTTGCATTTAGATATTTTTTCAAACAGCATTGGTACCCAGCGCCAGACAGCTGCGCTGCCTGCTGCTTCTAGCCTTAGTTTCCTTTGATAACACACTCCTGGGGCAGATGGGGGAGGGGGTGGGGACCGTTCCTCTGGTGCTCGCTCTATCTCAGCCTTGAGGGTCCTGGCTTCTCTATGCTATGCCAGTATTCTTTAGAGTTGTCTTCACTTCTTACGACAGCCTCCTGTTACAGTTAGAATGGCTCTATATTAATCTTTCCTCGTCCAAATTATTATGTGGTTTCTCCTAACTGGACCCAGTCGGATACTCCCAGCCTTTATATGGTTTGGAGGGCGCAGGGACACATGCTTTTTTGCTATCCTTTACCTGCAATTTTGTAGTCTTCAAGGAATATTTTATCCTAAATTGTCCTCAGATTATTAAGTAGATTGGTTCCAAATAGTAATATTTGGGAAAAAATCTGATCCCTTTGTGGTTACAGAGTAAATCTGTAACTCCAGAAAGAAAATATAAATATTCAGATAAAGAAGAAATGAATACAGGAAGGAAGCTTTTGTGGCTTTTATTCTGCTTTGTGTTGGATTTAAGATTATTGAAATGGCCAAGAGAATATGATTTGCTACGTTTATAAGTCTAGATAATTGATGTAAAATAGCTGCTTACAGTGCTTAGAAAGTTGTTGCTTTTTAGATTTGTAAGTCTGCCCTATCAGGCATTTAAAGTGTTTGAGAAAATCAGGGACATTAACTTTTCTTACTGTGGTCTCAAATGTCTAAGGAAATTTGGTTAAGGTGTGTAAGTCTTAAATGTTTGAAAACTGGATCTTAAACATTTAATTCTAGTAAACTTAAGAATTAATTCAACTGTAATCAAAGAACAAGTAAAAGTAAATGTTTTTATATGAACAATTACTAGATTTATGGAATAATACGATTTATAAGTTGAACTTAAAGCTTTTTTTAAAAGCTAGGTTTTAAAATGGGCATATTAAGTCAGTAACTGTAACATTCTTTTCCACACACAAACCTACCCCCAGATATTTGAAATTGCAGGTCTATAACTCCTAACTTGACATTGTAGCTGAGATCGCTCGCTCCTCTGTTCTCCAGAGAGCAGCATTCAGCTAGCTCTTCACCTGGCCAGAGGCATGGCTGACCAGGTGAGCAAGTGAAAATCTTCTCTGACAGCTGCACCCACAAATTGCGCAACCGGCACCACCTGGACTCTCCCTGCCTCTCACCCCACTCCGGGCTGACCCATCATCACTGAAGCACTTTCTTCTACTTCCAATAGATCGTCTTCTCTCTTAGAGTCATCAGTCAGCAGCCCAGCCCAGACCACATTCTTTTGTCCTGAGTGCTGCACTGGCCTCTGGGCGGGTCCCTAAAGCACTCGTTAGGGAGCGTCTACACCCCCCAGAGCAGCCCCCCCCCCCCGCCCTCCCCCCCGCCGGGGGCCCCTCGGCAGTTTCCCAGGGCGTTCTGACAGCGCCTCTGCCTTCTCCTCACCGCCCTCATTCTTCCTGGAGTTCCTCAAATGAGCCAAGTGCCTCCCTTCCTTGAGGTCTTCGTGTTTGCAGTTTCTTCTACTTGAAATGCAGTTCTTCCTGTTCTTCCTATGGCTGAGTTTTAAAAAAACTTTTTAAAAAAGTTTTTATTTATTTACTTATTTTTAAAGAGGGGAGGGAGAGGAGAAAGGGAGAGAAACATCAAGCATGGCTGCCTCTCGCGCGCCCCCTACTGGGGACCTGGCCCTCAACCCAGGCTGGTGCCCTGATTGGGGAATTCAACAGGGACCCTTTGGTTTGCAGGCCAGCCCTCCATCCACTGAGCCAAACCAGCCAGGGCTAAGTCTTAATTTAAATATCACCTCCCCAGAGAGTCTCCCCCACCCCCGCTGCCCCTCACTATCTCTATAAGCGTCTTTAAAAAAAAAAAATCAGCACTCATCACAATATGCAATTATTTTGTTTTATTGTTGCTGAGTGACTGCCTCTCCCATTACAATATGAGGTCCATGAATACAGGCGCCGGTCCAGGGCACACCCACTAGTTCTCCGGTTCTGGTAGCTCTCTGAGTAGAGACTCAGTAGAGTCCCGTCCCCCCCCCCCCCCCGCCCCCACTGCTGCCACTGCCCCAGTAATTAACTTAAATATACCCAATTATCCCAAGATATTTATTAAGTTAAAAAAAGATACAAAGCAGCATGTAGAGTGTAAATTCCACTTGTGTTTCTTAAACATTTCATACACACATTAAACATTAGTAGCTGTGGTTGCCTCTGGAGGAGAGGGCAGGTCAAGGGAGGAAAGGCACGAAGAACCTGAATTTTATAACCTTTCTTCCTATTTGGGTATTTTACTATATGCCTACATTGCCTTTGTAGTAATGAGAAAAATGCCATCTTTTGGTGCTGTTATTAAGTAGGAAACATGGAATGCCAAAAGCAGGAAGAACCTCAGAACCAAGACAGTCATGTAAGTGGAATGCATTTAGTTTTATGAAAAGGCCGCATTGCACTTCTTTTCCTCATGTCACTGAGGAGCTGGGGATGCTTCCTCTGGGCCTGGGCCTGGCCGCACCTGGCACCTGAGAGGTGTTGTAGTTATTGGCATTGTGGATAAGAGCAAAGGCTCTGACTCTGAAGCACTTGGTTTGAATCCCGTCTCTGCCTCTTTACTAGCTGTGGGACCATTGACAACATTCTTAAACTATGTGAGCCTCAGTTTTCTTCATCTTCAAAATGGGATGATAATAGTACTTCCCTTGTAGGGCTATTGCAAGCATCAAACGTGGTCATGTAAAGCACTTAGCACCGTGTCCTGCGTGCAGTTGTTCCATCCTTTACTTGCTGACACCCCACAGTTGCCACTGTACCCAAGTTCAGATTTCTGCGTATCTAGGGAGGAAGACCTCATATCTTGAGGTCATGGGATGGCACTGTTTTTCTGCCAGTTGTTCAATTTCCACACAGGCAATCTCTATTTTTGTCTTCACAGCAGTGATAAATTGATTGTTTTATTGCATCTTAACCTTATAAAGTTGTGTGATTAAAAAAATGAAAGTACCAATAGTAGTGATAAGAAGTATGTGTATATCAAGAGATTGAAACTACGGAATGGGAAAAAATGTTTGCAAATCATACCTGATAAGGGACTTGTATTCAGGATATATAATGGAACTCTTATACTTTGATAGTAAAATGATAAGTCGATGAAAAAGTGGGCAAGGGACTTCATGGACATTTCTCTAAAGAAGATATGCAAATGGCCAATTGGCATGTGAAAAGATGTTCAACATCACTAGTCATCAGGGAAATGTAAATCAAAACCACAATGAGCTATTACTTCGCACCTACTAGGATGGCACCTACTAGGATGGCCGTAGTCAACAGGTTAGGGAACAGCAAGTATTGGGGAGAATGTGCAGGAAAAATGAAACCCGCACAGTGCCACCGGGAGTGCAAAAATGGTGTAGCCATTTTGGAAAACAGTCTTAGCAGTTTCTCAAAATGTGAAACAGAGTTGCCATATGACCTAGCAATTCGGCATCTGCCCAAGGGAAATGGAAACGCCTCCAACAAAAACCTGCAAGTGAGCGCCCATAGTAGCAGAAGCATTTATAGTAGCCAAAAGTTCCATAACCCAAACGTCTACCAGCTGTTGAGCAGATAAACAAAACGTGGTACATGAAGACAATGGAATAGTATCGTGCAGGAGGAAGGAATGAAGTGCCAACACCTGCAATGATATGCGTGAATCTTGAAAATATGCTAAGTGAACGCCAGAACCAAAGACCACATATTGTGTGAACTGTCCAGAAGGGGCGAATCCATAGTGAACTGACTGGCAGTGACCGGCGGCTGAGGAATGGGGCACGGTGGTGGGAGTGATGCTTTTAGTGATGCTGAAGTGCAGGTTTCTTTCTGGGGCAATAAAAATGTTATGGAATTAGTCCCTGGCTGGTGTAGCTCAGTGGATTGAGCACGGGCCTGGGAACCAAACAACCACGGTTCAATTCCTAGTCAGGGCACATGCCTGGGTTGCCGGCCAGTTCCCATCAGGGGACATACAAGAGGCAACCATAGATTGATATTTCTCTCCCTCTCTCCTTCCCTTCCCCTCTAAAGATAAAGAAATAAAATCTTTAAAAAACGTTCTGGAATTAGGAAGTGGTGATGGTTGTACAGCCTTGTGAATATACTAAGAACACTATACCCTCTAAATAGGTGAATTATATCTCAATAAAGGAAGTATGTGTATCCTTAACTCTTTATAATTGATGTAAGGAGAAATCACTAGATTTGAAGAAAGAATCTTTAGCCTCCATTTGATGTTCATAAGCCTGTTTTTTGATCAGTGAAGGAAAATCACATTGAAGATACAATAGGAAAGAACTATATCATCAAAGATTGTATCAAAATGCAGTTGTAATTGAAAATGCTATATACCACTTTCTATTCCCTAGGGATAGATGTGCCCTGTTGACAGGAGATTTGTTTGACTTTTCTTTTGACATTAGGCTCATTTTCAGAAGCCAGTTCTGTGTGGCAGTAGGGGCCTGTGCCGACTGTCACAGGAAGGCAAAACCCCTCTAATGCTAAATCACCACGCAAGCTTCCCAGTTACAATTCAACGGGTACTCGGAGCCCACACATCATTATGTGGGTCACTGGAAAATTCTCATGCCCGTGAAAAAATGAACCCCTTTTCATTTATTTATCAGTCTTTTGTGAGCTGGGTTAGGAAAAGGCAGTGTATTTGTAGCCTCAAAACGGATCCTGGTGGCACCTGCGATGTCACTTGCCGACACACGCATGTCCGAGATGTGCAGTGTGGGGCAGTGTCCGAGTCACCGAAAACGCATGCTGCCAGCCGAGGCCCATTCCGCTCTCGTGCTGTAAACACACATCCTTGTTGTGGTCTGTCTGGTGCCATGTTTTTCACATTCTTGTGCTTTCGGCTGGTGATTTTGGTTTCAGGGGCCCCTCACGTGCAGGGCTGAGGTGCCGCCGCATGCTCATCAGCACTAAGGTGTGACTCATGGAGAAGACACACATGCTGGGCAGGTTTCATCGAGTCTCCGGTTATGGCACCGTTGGCCCCGAGTTCAGTGTTTACAAGTTACTGACCTGTACTCAGTACAGAACAACGGTGCAGGCACTTAGCTCTCAGCTCCAGCGAAGGCAGCTCCGCCACCCCCTTCTCCCCATCCTCAGGCAGGAGCTGGCAGGAGATCAGACACTGCAATTCAAAGTAGCTCATGAACAAAAGCTGTCAAGTTGCCAAGAAACCTGCCTTTTCTAAGGGTTCCCGGAGTGGTCTTTGGTTTTGCTGGCACTGGCATGTCAGTATGTGAGTGCACCCGGGCCGCCACCCCACCAGCCCCGGATGAGTCAGGCCAGTCTTGAGGGTAAGAACTGCAGGCTGCCCTGGGGCACCATTGTGGAGCCCAGGTACTGCCAGGTCAGGCAGCCCAGGCCTCCTGTGGGAACAAAACAGGAGGCAGCTGCCTGAGGCCAGAGGTCAGCAGAGCCACGAGCAGGAAGGACATTTTGGATGCTGAATCCTGGACCCAATTCAGCAAAAGGCCTGAAGGTCCCACTCCCATCCCCTGGATGAACTTGAGAAATAATCCCTAACAAGATCAGAGCCACTGCCAGAGACGCAAGATTTGTAGCACTGAGTAGGCTGGGCTGACCTTGATCTAATTTGCTTCCCTTTTCCCATTGTCCTATGGAGAATTTGAGGCCTGGGGACAGGAAGGGACTTTCTCAAGGGCACATAGAACAAACGTGGGCGGGCTCTCTATCTAGAGAGGATCTGGGGGCTGGGAGTGGAGGGAGAAAAGGCCTAAAGTGAAATCTGAGACGGTATTATTGTGTCTGTCCATTCATTAACTACTTATTGAGCTCTTGCTAGGAGCTTCAAAGTCCTCACTGCAACTAAGTACAGAGAAAGAGATTTCAAAACTTTGAGCAAATTGCCACTTCTCAAAGTCCGTTTCTGAATAAGCACACCAGAGCTCCTCCTCTGTGAGCAGCAGGGTGCTATGGGTGCCTAACTGCTACTCTCAGCTGTAGCTCTGGGAGGACGAGAAATGGGGTCTCACCCTGTCCTCGGGCCTTTCTTCCCAGCCGTCAGGGATTTGAGGAGGCCCCATGGGCCAGCTGCCTTGGATTTGTTTCTCACCCTGTAGGCCCTGAGTGCTTTCGTGCCCAGCTCCTCGAGCAGGGCATTTCCAGCTCTAGAATCAGCTGAGGGCATGTGCTTTTACTCTGCCCAGTTGAAAGCCCTTTAATGGCCCTGACCGTGTGTGGCTCAGTTGGTTGGGCCTCATCCTGCAAGGTGAAGGGTCGCAGGTTTGATTCTTGGTCAGGGCACATGCTGGGGGTGCCGGTTCAGTCTCCAGTCGGAGAGTGTAGTGTGAGAGGCAATTGATCGAGATTTCTCTCACATCGATCTCGCTCTCCCTCTCTTAAAAAACCACACATACACAGCATATTTAAAAACCAACAAACCCTTTAATAGCTCCTACTGCTTTTAGAACAAAGATCAGAGACTCCTTACCACCACCAGACAGGGTCTGGGTGCTGCCCACTTCCTGCTTCCTGTCTTTCTTGCCAGCTCGGCTCCAGCCTCACGGACCTTCATACCTGCCACCTCCCTCCCCAGCATCTTCCCACCTGCTGTCTCCCAACATCTGGAATGTTCTCTCTCCTTTTTCTAGTGAGGGTTTAAGCTTTTAAAAGAAACCATTACAACTCTTTAGAAGAAAACTAACTCGTCGGTGGGTGGTAAAAGATTTTTCAGAAAACAACGGAAGCTACAAAGAGATATAGACCCTCTCAGGGCTCTAACCGGCCACAGTGGCCCGCAAACACTCCCCTTTCCTGTCTTGAGGCCTTCTCCAGACTGTGGTCCACAGCACCCTCTGGTGGGCCCTGAGTGACAGCACAGCAGGCAGCTTCTGCTCCTGGTCGCCGGCAGCCCCACACCAAGATTAAACCACGGGAACTTGGTGGAGCTGGAAGCATCATGCAAACACTTCTCATTTTTTTTTTTTTTTACTGAGGAAGACTGAGTCCTGAAAGGGGGCAGATTTTGCATAAGGTCTCATGGAGTCTGTTGCAGAGGTAGGCTAGCCAGGGCTCTTCCCACCATGTGTTATTACTCAAATCTAATGCTCAAAGGCATCAAAATGTTTTGGTAAACAGGGACTTGTGGCAGGGGGGTGCACATTAGAAACGAGCTCAGCTTATTCCCATTGTCCCCCCAAACCCCTCCACACTGGCTGTACTCTGTCAGAGCTGCCTAACTTCTGTGAGCTTCCAGTGTGGGAAGGCCTTGCTGCCTCAGGGCCTTTGCATTCACTGTTCTCTGCCTAGAACTGCCCCCGCCCACCATATTGCCTCTCAGCTCACATGCCCTCACATTTTTCAGCCCTTGCAGAGGGGCATTCCCTGCCCACCCTTCCTAATGTTGACCAAATTGCCAAGTTTTCTAAATCTGTTTCTGAAGAAGTATGCCACTCCAGTCTCTAAAATACCTTGCTTCACATCCAGAGAGGATTCACACCCGAAAGCGTCTTGGTTAGTTGTTTTAAGCCTGCCTTCCTCTCTGGAAGGATGGCTATTGGGAGTTTGTTTGGTACCCAGCAGAGAGCCTGGGCACCGAGTGGGAATGACGGAATGGAGAACGGCGCGTGACGGGAACAAACCAGAGACCACGTTAAAGAAAGTCTGGAGGTTTACTCAACAACAATCACAAATATACACGTACGTCAGTTCTTCACAGCGGCTTACTCTTCCAGGCAGGAGAAGAGAGGCTGGCGGTCTCGAGCTTTCTCTATGGAGTCCCCATCTGACTTCTCAAATACCTGCTGCCTGTAGTGCCCCTGGGACCCGTCCGTGTGCCCAAACAGAGCAGGAGCCTGCCCCTGTTGTCTAGAACGGCAGGATCGGAGCCACTTTGGGAGCAGATGTTAACAAGGACCTTGTGCATTGAAACGTAGGTCCAACACCCACCCCGAGGGAGGAAGGGGGCCTTGGCTCAAGATCAAATGGGAATTAAATTATTACTACTTGGATTTTCACAGAGAACATTAGTTGGAAGCAGAAAGGAGTTCCAGAACAAAACTAACGCCTTGCCCCTTCCCCACACTTGGAAATCTTCAGAAAACATTACAAACGTATGGTCTCCTAGGAATTAGAAAAGGCAGCCCAATGTGTACAAAGTAGGGGTCATACAGGAAGGACTCCAGATTCCCCAGCTGCACCTGCAGAGTGCTTTGCCGCTCTTAAGACTCCAGAGACTGGAGACATGGAGATGTGCAGAAAGAAATACAGAGCCGTTTTCAAGCAGGTCACCGATTTCTCGGGGAGAAAAGGAAATTCAGCAGGTAGGAGGTGTGGAAAGGGAGTGTAACGTGGACTTTGGGAATCCATGCGCTCCACCTTCTGCAGCTGCTCTCCCCCCTGACCCTCACGTCAGATCCCTTCCACCTGTGCACCCCCTCCCGCCTCTGAGCTACTGCTCCCTAAAGCGGGGAACCAGCCGTTTCTGGACTGTTTTTAAGGTTGTGACAAGCTCCAGTTGGAGGCACAACGTGCGGTGGCTTTCCACACCCGTGCCTGCACAGTCGGCCGCCTCCAACGGCGGCCTTGCACTTACAGGAAAGATGCTCTCTGCATTTCACAATGTTTCTGGGGCCCCTTCGGAAAGGCTGCTGGTGGGCCACATGGCAGCCCCTCGTTTGTTTTGTGGCCTCATGCTCAGAATAAGGGTTTTGGAGGGGAAGGGGCCCCTGTCCTCCTCCTTACCTGGCTCATGGCCTCTCCACAGCCTGCTGGCTGTTCTGTTTGGGCATCGGCTGGGGGTGTGTGAGCAGGAATCTGAATCTTTAGTGAAGCTAGTTAGAAAACAAAACAACCCCTCCCCCAAATGAGGCCAAGACAATGAGTGGCCAGTATTTGCAATCAGCCAGTTGGTCAGCCAGGCAATGAACGACCTCGCCTCCTGCCGTCCCTATCCTACACTTTGTCAACTGCGGCACCTCCACATGTGGGCTCAGCAATGACAAAGGCTGGGGTGCTGGGAGGACCTGCCCGTCCCTTGTTGAGGGGGCAGAACCAGCCTGAAAAGAAGACCCAAATGGTGTGAGAGAAGAAAGCGGGGGACTGCCTGGGATTGCTCCCGCTTCCCACACCGGTCCTGGTCATGCTCAGAACACTGCCCCCCACTTGCAGCAGGACCGCGTGGGAATGCGGCCAGTGCTCTGTAGTCTGTCTGGGGGCCGGGTCAGGGCGCTGCAGGCAGGGCCCCCACACAGGGCCCTCCCCCAGGGGCTGCTGCAGTCCTTCCAGGCTGCAGGCTGCCCAAGCTGTCCAGCTGTCCTTTCAGCCTGGAGTGTCACTCTAACTGAAATGACTTCTGGACTCTGCCCTTGGGGGACACCTCCCACTCAGACCCTGCTCTTGGCCCAACGTCTCCTGCTTGAAATCGGACATGAAGAAACGCACACTCACCCAATGGGGACTGCACACGCCACGCCAAACACTCCCCTCCCCCCACCCCTGCCTCTTTACGTTTGTCTAGCAAGGCACTAGGAAATGGTTCAAGTTTAGGGATTGGCTGTACAGCTGCATTTTTTTCTTTTTAAAAGGCACAGTTTTTATTTTAATGATGCTGCATTGCTCTCTGATGATGCATCCTAACTCTGCTCTCCACACTGCGAGACACTCCTGCGATCCGAGATCGAGATTCTGGAAGGGGCCGCATCGTGGGACTCCTTCCTGAGCAGGACCACTGCTAAAGATGTAACGCTCGTTTGGAAGAGACATTAGGGCTCAACCAGCAAGCTTTGCAAATACAGGGGCAGCCTCTCCTGCAGAGAGGTAGCCAGAGCTGGGCTTGTAGGGAAGGGGAGGTGGGGGGAGAAGTGACGCTTTGCCAGCTGCGTGCTTAATTGGGGTGGTCGTGACCTGGAATGTTTAGTCCTCCCTCTCCAAGATCACTGATGCCTTGAGATCAGCCAGCATCTCAAAGCCAGATTTGTGGCTCCATTCCCAGATTTATGTCTTAGTTATTTAACTGGCAAACGATACAATCGAGGGACCCAACTCTAACTGGAATATTGACTTCAAGTATTGCCTGGGCTAGCTGATGGAAGCCACAGGTTGTAGGACGTGATTCCCATCTCTGAATCCGTGGGTGGCAGGCTGGTTACAGAAATGCTTCCTATTAGCGTGGGGAGCCCTTGGGGAGCCTGACGTGTAATTAACTGAGCAAAGGGAGACAGCAAGGACTGGCATGGAGCTGAGTGTGCACCTGTTCCCGGGGCGTTGGTTCTGCTCTGCACTGCGGCTCGGGGGGTGGGAGGCTGCAGGGCTTCAGGTCACAGTCCCCAATGCCACCAACCTGAATTTCACAGACTGGATGGTATTACACCTGGCTGGCTCCTTTAACCACAACATTCTAGGAATCCGTGTGGAACGCCAGAATGCCAGAATCCTGTGTGGCACTCTGGTGTGTGATCGAATTACAGACTTCTTTAAAAACTCCAGAGTTCGCCATGAGAACTAGGACCATGATGAGGGCAGAGACTAGGCATCTTGGCATGGACAACCCTGGTGGCCTCCAGACTTCGTGAGGAGAGCACTTCACGCCTCTGCTGCTCTCTCCAAGGAGCGGGAGAGAGAGGGAGAGATGGGAGAGGAAAGGAAATGGAAGCACTGGCCAAGGACATTCAGCCAGAATTCCCAGCTTGGAGATCTACCGGCCTCTCCACGCACCCATGGCCACCTGAAACACAGCCTGGGAACGCTGGTGGCTGGGCTGGCCTTGTGCCTGGAGGGCACTAGAACGCGCCTTGCAGGCTCCCGGAGAGCAGGCAGGGACACCCTGTACGTCCTCGGCTGCAAAGGAACGTCTGAGGGTCCAGCTTCGAACCCCAGGCCCGGCAGCTGGCCGGTCCTGAGCACTCAACTCTCTGAGGACATTCCCTGGGGCTGTGACGGAGGACAGAAGCTGGGTAGTAACTGCACTTACCCCCACGACAGGTAGACACTGACAGGCTGACACCGGTGTCCCCAGCACTTCCTCCTCTTCCCCTGCAGACGGATGGCGACGAGCTAACAGGGCCCCAAACAGGCAACACGGGCCTCTCTTTCTAAAGGACGGCCATATACGTGCCTCATTTCTGGGTGGCCTAGGGCCGCTGGAGGGGACAAGGTGACAAACTCGAGTGGGCCCGCCTGGGTTTCCACAAGGCCACCAGGGGTCACCGTAGGCTCTGCACCCTCGTGGGGCCTCTCGTGGGGCCTGCTCCCCACCCTGCCCCGCAGCTCAGGACCTCCAACACCAGGCAGACGCCCGGCTGCAGCTTCAAGAGCCGGCTTTGCCCGGAACCGCTTGGCCAGCACCCTTCCGTCCCGGTGCCCACAGAAGTCCTGTGATGAGTGGCAGGAGGACCCGCCAGGCCAGCCGTGGAGGCCTGGGCTCAGTCTCTGTTGAACTCCTCCAGGACTGTCGAGTTGGTGTGTTCAAACAGCCACTGCTGGGTGGGGGAGGAGGGGCGGCAGGCGTTCATGAAGATCCTGTGGTCGCTCTCGCTGCAGTCCATGCAGCTGCCGCTGACCGGGTGGTACAGGGTCTTGTCCTGCAAAACACCAAGGTTACCAGCTGGGCGGCGCTGGGGATCTCGGGCAACAGCAGCAGCAGGAGCCACCGTAAGGCAGCAAGGCAGGGACTGGCCAGTCGCTCGCAGGCCTGTGCCGCCTTCCTCCAAGGCATGGGGGGAGTCACCGCCGGTCTCCAGATTCCATTGGTCCTCGTGTGTGTGTGTGTGTGTGTGTGTGTGTGTGTGTGTGTGTGTGTTTAATGGCTCGGCTGCCAGCATTTAAGATTCTAGAGATTTTACACAAAAACCTGGATTTCTGGCTTCTCTTGCATGTCTAGAAAACTGGGCATGGCAAGTTAGTGGGGCACACGCAGGTGTGAGTGGGCTCTGTTGGGGGGCAAAGGTGCTACTCTGCCTCCTGTCTTTCTTTTTTAAAATCAAGCAGGTCACCCCAACCCCCCTCACCCCCACAAGTCCTGTCTTACTTTTCGGTATTTCCACAGCTGGTTGCCCTTCATGCTGTGGCAGTCATACAGGGTGACGGGACTGGTGTGCGAGACGGCGTCGAAGCAGACCTTCTTGGTGTGCTGGGGGTCCCCAGGCCGGACGTCCTCTCTCCAGGTGAAGGTGAACACCTGCGCACACGGGGGCATCGCGAGAGGGATCGTGAGGGGTGGCGACGCGAGCGGACTTGGTTTTTTGTAGTTGTGGAAAAATTAAAAACTCTAGAAGTCCAGCAAAAGGGTAAACCGGCCACACCTGTCGCCACCCCGCAGCTTAAACAGTCACCAGCTCGTGGTGCTGCTCCTTGTGGCTCTGCCCCGCCCCCACTGTATCTGGAAGCAAATCCGACACATCACGGTCTTGGATATTCCGAAGCATCAGTCAAGGAGAATGCATCTCTCCAGTGAGAACTGCTAGGAAGAGAGGACAAGGGGGACCCTGGCTGGTGTGGCTCTGTGGATTGAGCACCGGTCTGAGAACCAAAGGGTTGTCAGTTCGATTCCCAGTCAGGGAACCTGCCTGGGTTGTGGGTCAGGTCCCTGGGGTGCTCGAGAGGCAACCACACATTGATGTTTGTCTCCCTCTCTCCTTTCCTTCCTCTGTCTCTAAAAATAAATAAGTAAAATCTGTAAAAAACAGATGAGGGGGAGCGGCCAGCACCTCAGAGGGCGGGCTGGGCTCTGTCCGCAGGAGGGGGGGCGCTGGCCACTCTCGGCAGGTCTGCTGGGACCTCCCAACTTGTTTTTGTACAGGACCCGCCCGAGGGGCTCATCTCAGTATAACTTCCAAAACGCCAGCAGTTCTACAGTCAGGAGGCTGTAAAAGTGCTTCCCCGCTCCAAGAGTCAGAGGATGCCGTGGGATTTAATATCGGGGCGAACTGCTCGGAGGACAGAATCACCGAAAGGCAGGTTCCCGAGGGTGGTGGCTTTTCCGGCAAGGCTGGCTGGCACTCCCCCTCCTCCTGCGAACTCTGGGGAGCCAGCCCCGCCTCTCTTCCCTTCTCCTCCAGGTGAGGCCGACCCCACCCAGGCTGCAGAGTGCGCACGTGACTTTGGGCTGATCCATACGAGGACCGCATCCGCACTGTGACCGGCTCAGGAAGCCAACATGTGAGAGCTTCTAGAGCTCGGGAAGGGGCGTGCCTGCCCCCCGGAGGCTCTGCTGTGGTGCCTGCCGCCAGGGAAGAGGCAGGCTGTGAACGGGCCGACAGAGGGGGAAGCAGACATGGGGCCCCGGAGAGATCCCGGTGACATGAGCCTGTCACTCCCCCTTGTTGCCAAAGGCCACCTGCACTGGGTCTGCAGCATTCGTAACCAGCAGCGCACATCGGTGGCTTTATCGCAGTGTGGAGGGCTCCTCTTTCCAAAGTGCTCGGGAAGCTTTTATGACTTGTCCCCTGGGCTGACCGGTCACTCGGCATTGACCGCGGCCTGTCCCTCCCTGCCCCTCGCAGCAGAGCACGGGGAGTCCGGCTGCCGCCCCCGGCGGCCTCACCTGCATGTTGTTCCAGGCGGCCTCCCCGCGGCCCCGGACGCAGCTCTCCAGCCTCAGTGGGGAGCCCTGGGCCCCGTGCTTCGTGTCCGCACACAGCCCGGTGCCCACATTGCGGATCTGGACGAGCAAGGGGGACAGAGTGCACCGTGAGGCCCCTCGAGATTCCTTCTGGGGCCCCGTGGGCAGTGTGGGGCTGGGGGGGGACACCACAGCAGAGACACCTGACGCTCTGAACCGCCCACAGGAAGCCTGCCCAGGGCTGGGGGCAGGAACGCTCGGCCCACAGAGAGGAGCACCTCCGCCTGTCTCAGAGCAGGTGGCCCGGGGCGGGGCCTGGAGGTGAGGGGCGTTAGGAGGACTCCAGCACCCCACGCTCAGAGAATCTGGTCCCGCTCCCCATTACCCCCGGTACAAGGGAGCGGGTCCTCTGAGCCTGGAGACCCAGGAGCCGTGACTGAGGCTTCTCCCCGAAGAAGACTCTGCGTCCGCCAGCAGGGCTGGCTTCACACGCGTGTGACAGGAGTCGTCGCCAGGGTCCCTCGCTCAGAAGGGCCTGTGCTGGATCAAAGCTTGCTGTCTCTGTCTTAAAATTTTCAATATGTGTCTTTGCACTTGCGAGTGAATCTGACGGGACAGGGGAGCAGGCCTGGGAGCAGAGGTGACACAGGGGTCCGAGCACCCACAGTCCTTTCTGCCGCATCTGCCCGCAGCATCGGCAGTGCTCAGCATTCCGGGGGTCCCACGTGCCAGGGAGAGTTCGGCAAGGCTCAAAGCGAGTGTGTGCAGTCCGTCTGGGAGTAAGTGGGGGTGGTGACCAAGGGGGGCTTGGAAGGGCGGCCACGCTTTTCTTCCTGATGAGGACCTGCTCTCAGACACAGGATGGACCGGGAGCTCTGTCTTGTCCTTTCTTCCCTGCACCACTCCCTACATCAGCCACCCACTGTGCCCCAGTGAGACAGCTGGCCCATCCTCCAGACTCACCTCCCCCCACGCTGCGGCCGGGGGCTCCACGGGCGGGTAGAATTTGGGCAGGTCCCAGGCGATCTTGGTCATAAACCACTTGAAACTCTTGCAGTTCAGGGCGCTGCGGAGCTTCTTCTGGGCGGCTACGTCCCCCGCGGAGAGGTGGCGGTACTCGGGCCGGCGCTGGTAGATGTGCTCCGCGTACTCGTCCATCCACACTTCCGCCACGCGCTTCAGGTTCTGGAGGGACAGCAGGTGGGGACGAGGGTCAGGCAACTCTGAAGGGCCGAGGCCGGGGTGTGGGGGGCCAGGGGTTCTGGAGATTGAGGTCAGTCTTTCTCATTTTACATGGCTGCATCAGCACCCCCAGCCCCACCGCGGTTTTAGGCTTTCTGTGTGTCTAATATTTACGTGCGTTTTAAAGACTACAGCTACAGGTGGGTAACAGGCTTTCCTTGCCCACTTTCCATCCCCTCTATTTCTAGTGACAGCCTCCCACTGGTCTTCGTTTGCGGACCCGCTTCTGCCTCAGGTTACGTGGCACAGGACTCAGCCTGGCTACTGGGAATACAGGCGGCCTGGGCACAGGGACTGGTCAGGGAGCACGTGAGCTTAGCCAAACCAGTTGGAATCAGCAGGCAATTATTAGCCCTGGAATTTTTGCTGGTGCAGTGGGGCAGAACTGCTGCATTTCTGTTTAGATTGCTGGGCACACTGAGATGGGTAGGATGCCAGCCAGAGCAGCTGGGCTGTGTGGAGACCTGTCCAAGGCCGGAGTTGACCCAGAGGGAAGCGGAGCTGAGGCTGGAGGCGGAAACCCTCCTTCCTTCCTTCTTTTGGTACCTGAATCCAGCCCTGCTGGAAGCCTGAGCCACCTCAGGACTCTCCACCTGCAGGAGGTGGCAACGTCTCTTTCTGCTTAAGCCTCTTTGGGTTGGGTTTCTGTTATTTTCAACCAAGACCGCCAACCAAGTTGCATGGTCAAATAAATTCTAATTTGCAGCCCAAACTAGAATTCTACCACCAGCTGGAGTTTTAAATACTTTTTTGAGGTGGGACGGTTGCTGCTGTTTTATTATGAAGCACAAGGATAATCAATAATTATGAAAATGACAACCACATTATTGGCAAATAGAGGCACCGGTAAGGAAATGTCGCGTTTGTGCGCAGACCTGGAGATGGAAGAGGAAGAGGAAACTGTGTAACTGAGGTGACACTGCTCCCGCCTCTGCCCTGCAGACGCCACCTGAGCTGGCTCCGGAAGAACGCAACCCCCGGGGCTCAGGGGAAGGTCCCGCTCCCGAACCACACCAACCAAAACACCCCTCTCACCCTGGCTGTCGCCAGAAATCCGCCCTCCCCCACACACACACATTTAAGTCTCCAGGCTTTCTCTCTACCATAAATTTTTTTTTCCTACTGCAATCCAAATGTTCTTCTGAGGGGTAAAAGGGAGCCAGCACTTAGACTGTTATCAGTCATTCACACCTCAGTGTAAATGACTGCTCTAAGGCAAATGTTTTCTGTAAAGGGCCAGATAGTAAATATTTTAGGCTTTGCAGACCATATGATCTCAACTCTGATGATGTAGCTATAAAGCAGCCCTAGACACTATGTAAATGAGTGTGTGTGGCTGTGTTCCAATAAAAGTACATGGACGATGAAATCTGATTTTCATGCCCTGGCTGGCCAGCTTACTTGGTTAGAGCATTGTCCTGATACACCAAGGTCGCGGGTTCAATCCTCAGTCAGGGCACATACAAGAGACAACCAGTGAATGCATTAATGCTTTTTCTCTCTCAAATCAATTTTAAAAATCATTAAAAAAATAGAACTTGATTTTTATGTGTCACAAAAAACTCTTCTTAGCTCACAGGCTACACAAAAGCAGTTGATGACTCCTGAGTGAGGAGGACGGAGGCCAACAGGAGGGAGGCCCTGGTACCAGGGACAAAATATACCAACTCCTTCATTGTGCTGGCTCTGATTTGGGACCAGGAAACTCAGGGACTTCCTTGCTACCATTTCCTTCTTTGTCAGTGCTGAAGAGGTCAACAATGGGTTAGAAAAGAGTTCGAGAACCGTGTCCTCCCCAGCAGGCCTGATGTGCCGGGTCTCCCTTTCCCGGGCCGCCGCCCGGGTCCTCTGGCTCACTGCCCGCCCTGCTCACGCCGCCAGCACAGGTGGCCAGTCTGACCAGTGCTATTCTCAAAGGATCAGATCACACAGTATTTTAATTTTACTTGATATTTATATGGTTATTAATGAATATTCCATTTTCCAGCTATGACTTAATAGGCCATTTCTCCTGGATCATGGACTTTTGCACAGTTAGCTGTCTGGAGCAACGTGAAGGGCTTTACGTTTATTTCTATCACATCTCCCCTTGGGAGAGTCGTGAAGGGGAGCCTGGGATTTCAGGGGGCTGTGCGGTCCTCTCATTCCTCCCAACACCCTCCTAGTTCTGGGCCCCAGAACTGCTCTTCTTGTGCGTGGATTACGGAGACTTGCCCGATTCTTGGAGTGAGTCTCCTGTTTTCTTTTGCCAAGTTTGAGTGGGTTGCTGCTGTTGCCTTCCCTAAGACCCCATTCCCAGGGGCAGAGGCAGGGATTTCTGCACAGTGAGTGAACCAGTGGCGACGGCTGCTTGTCCTGGGGGCAGGCCTGCTGGTGGATGGCTCCTCCTTCCTGTGTTGCCGCTTCACTGTGGTCTGGCAGCCTGTCCTTCTGGAGTCGGCAGGGCTTCAGTAAGGCCTTGGCTGCCCTCTTTATGGGGCCCTCTCAGGGATTTGAGAATATTACGTCCCCTCAAATCTGCCAAACTGATGTTCCCAGAGATAATGCTCTAGAAGGAACCAGCTGTTCAGGATGGAGAGAGCAGTTAAAGTCTGATCTGCAACTAAGGAGGGCGGGTAAGCACGAAGATCGGCTGTCGGAGGGCATCCACCGGCGGCTCTGTGGCTCCGCAAACTTGTGTGGGGCGCCCCTCGGATGGTTAGACTTGCATGGGGCACCCCTCAGGCTGGCAGCTGGTTGCAAGGCACAGGACACCGAGTCAGTGTAGACAGAAGTGAACGTGTATAAACACAGAAATCGGATGAGACACTGAAATAAACCTCCCAGGCCTGCTAATGTTGAGGCCGACATGGACACTGGCACTAAGGCTGGCAGTCACTATTTACGGGACAACTGCTCTGTCCCAGGCACCAGTCAGACCTCAGTGGGTTTAAATTCTGACTCTCTGTACTTCCTGTCTCCATGTTTCACTTTCCACACCTCTAGAATGGGGATTAAAAGCAGGTGAGAATTGAGTGAGATAAGTATGTAAGATGCTTTGCTAGCTCACAGAAGTTTTCATGTGCTCCTACAGTTCGCTATTACCCACTGAATCCATCTACAGATCCATGAACAGGAGGCAGAGCCTCTTTGCCAGGCCAATCTTATAAGTGACAGCTCTAGACAGGGAGGGGATGCTTTGGGAATGGTTCTGCTCAGGCCTCAGAAGTGCTCCCTTGTCCCACGTCCCTCACGGCTGGAAGCCGGTCTTGGCTTACTGAGCCACTCTGCCCTGCTTTCATGCCTGACACCTCTGAGACTACAAACGGTAGTCCATTCCTGCCTCTTCAGCTGAATCTAGAACTCGCCCACCGTGGGTCGGCTGCGGGTGGAGCTGTCCAAAGCCGATGGCTGGTGCGGCTGTTGTTGAAGCCATATGCCACTAGAGGGCACTGCCGGCCCTCTTTTCCTTCTAGCCGTCTCCAGAGCCGGTTGGCAAACCGCTGAGGACTGAGCAGCAGCTCTCTGTCCTCCGAAGGATCAGGGAGACCCGCTGCCTCTTCTGTAAAATCAGTCTTCTGGTAAATCGCAGGCCAGGGGGTCTCTTCCAGGACCCAGGGGTTATACTCGTGCACGTGGTCGACCGTCAGGTGGTAAGGGACTGGAGGCAGCGGCCTGGGCTGAGAAGGCTGAGGCCAACAGGCTTACAAGGGGGGTTCTGTCCAGGTGCTGGAGGTGCGGGGTGGGGTGTCCCTGCAAGCAAAGCTGCACAGGTAACCTTTCTGGCTTCCTCAAAACCTCCCTGAGACCCTCTTACCCTCTGGGGACACTCCCTTCTCTTTGGTTTTCTTTAGTGGTCATATTGATTTTTCTTCTCAAAACACTTAATATTTTAAAATTTATTATTAAAGTTCAGTGAAATATCACTCACGCAACCTCCCCCTCAAACCCCCCCAAACAAAGCACAAACCCCTGGCCAACAGATTTCCATTTGCAGCCAACAGCCAATTTAATTCAAGCAGTGATGAATACAAGCCATTTGAAGGCATGAAGCAGTTTGACACAGAATTTTTGGCCATAAAAGTAGGGAGGGGTGGGGAGAACGGAAAGACATTGACGTTTATTAACTGCCCCTGTGCCGGGAACTTTTAAGGGCCTTATCTCAGGCTTTCCCAAACACACCACTCAACCTGCATTAATATTGATGTAACATGTTCCTTTAAATCGCCCTGGTCAGACTTCACACCTGCTGGAGCTTCGTCCTAATTAACGATGTCTGTGAAGTCACAAGCTTGCTACACTAGGACACATTAGTTTCTAATCTGCATAATTTAGACACGTGTAAATAAAAACGTTCCTACGTCCACCAGCTCTGATCACCTTGTCTGTCACACTCGGGAAAGGAAAGCACACGCGGTGCTGTCTCCTCAGCTCTCCTGGCAAAGCTAAGAGCTGGAACAACCACCTGCCTTTCAACAGGCGGAAACACGGGCTCCCACAGGTAATATGCGGGCAAGCAGGGCTTTAGGTTCTTTCACCCGGTTTCCCTGGACAGTGGGGGGGCACCTAGGGATCATTTGGCCTGGGGTTCTGGGTGCCACTCTCCCCCCGCAGGGGAAGCCACCAGCTTACCCTGGCCAGGCTGACTCCAGCAGGGACTTTGTAGGGCACATACTTCCTGTAGATATGTCCCACCCTGGAGCAGGGGATGTCCTCCATGCGGCCCCCGCACATCCACACCTGCAGGGAAGAAGGGAGAGGTGACATTTCTGCATCCCGCTCATCGTCCCCTCCTTGGCGCATTCATCAAAAGCACCAGCTTGGACTGTGTGGTAAAAACCTGATCACAGACCGAGGGATGGAGGAAAACGGTGGAGAGGGCAGCAGTGCTGACGGTGATGGCATCAGGTGCTCACTCAGTGCCGGGGGCTGCCCGGAGCACAACTGCAGTTAAGCCTGTGCAGGAGGGGGGGCTGCAGTGTTTTACAGACGAAGAACCTGAGACTCGGAGCACCTCAGAGGCTTGTGCGAGGCCATGGGGCTAGTGAGTGGGGGCGCCAGAACTCCCACTCGGCTGCAGCTAGCTCCAGAGCCAGAGGCCTTGCCTGCCTCGCTGTGTGCTGTGCTGTGAAGGACTCTCAGGGGGCATCGGGCCCCCGGTGGGGAAGACCAGCTGATCACTTCGTGAGGGCTGCCACCAGTGTGAGGGGACAGGGCCGCACACGGGCTGTTTCCTGACTGTGGCATTAGACTCTGGGGGTGCCTCCTGGGTCTGTGTGCCTCATGCTGGGTCCTCCCGAGCAGTGACTTCTCTGCAGTCTGGCTTGCCAGGCCGTGTGGCTGGGGACCGCGGCAGGGAGGGACCTGATGCTTCTCCTTGAGTCTCCCTCCACATTTGGCCTTATGAAGAGCTCCCGAGTTTGGCTGCTCTGACAGCATCTGAGAGTCCTTAACAAGCACTGTACAATCAGCGCTGACTCTCACCCATTCAGGGGTCCAGCCTGCACGGACCCTCCTTGACAATCCTGGGTTCAAATCCTGCCTCAGCCACTTCCACACTTTGTGACTTTGGTCAAGGTACTAACTCCTCTGAGGCTCAGTTCCCTCACCTGCAAAAGATTCAGGGATGTGGGCCTGGGGGTGAGATACTGCATGGAAAGTGCGTAGCACAAGACATGGCACAGACACAGTGGTGTTCTGTGCTGCAGCAGTTCATGCATACATTTGGCATGTTTATGGAGTATCTGCTACATGCCAAACACCTGGCCCAGCACACAGAGCGGTGGAGAAGTCAGCCAGGGCCTCCGGCTCTCACAGAGGGGGTGTGGTGCAGCCTTGGAGATGTCCTCTCTGGGGTCCTTGCCTCCTGGTATTTGCACCCTCGCTTGTTCCCTCCCAAATGAGTCACCTGAGGGCTGACCTGGGTAACCAACAGGATACTGCAGAAATGAGAGGCTCCCACCTTACTCCTGGGGACCACTGCTTTGGGGCACTCAAGCAGCCCTGTGGAGAGGTCTAGGTCAGGGGAAGCTGAGACCTCCTGCTCACTGTGCTAACTTGCCGGCCACGTGAATGAGTCAGCTTAGAAGCTGAGGCCCTCACCGCAGCCAAGCCATCGGTTGACTGCAGCCCTGGCCGACATGCGGACTGGACTTCAAGACACACCCAGGCAGATCCAACCTGCTGAGCTGCCCCCAAGCCTCTGACCCACACAGACTTTGCAATAATAATTGTTTTATTACTGTTTTAAGATGCTATGTTTTGGGAGACAGTTTTAGATGGTGATGGCTACAAGGCAGCCACAGTGAGGTCCCGGGATAGGCTCACTGTGGGGGTGTGTGGGTTGCTGCCACCCACACCTGTCAGGGAAAGCCCCCTCCAGCCAAGAATGGCTGGGGCAAGTCCTGCATGACAAGAAGTAAAAGTAACATAACAATCTGAGGGGCGAGAAAGCAGGTGAAGGGAAGAGCAGGTGCAAAGGCCCTGAGGTAGAGCCCTGGCATGATCACTAAAGAAAGTGAGCAGAGGGAGAAGCGATGGGAGGGGAGGCCAGAAAGGTGAGTGGGGACAATCGCAAGGGTTGTGCAGGGCCAAATGGGGAGTCTTTGCTGAAAGTCCTCAGTGAAGGAGATGACATCATCCAATTTCAGTTTCACCAAGGTAACTGCCTGCCTGTGCAAGGGACAGCCAGCAGGCAGCAGGCTTCCCGGAGGGACGGCCTGGAGGCTCCTGCCCCTGCGAGGCCGTCCTGGCTGCGGTGATGGTGGGACACAGCTGGGTCTGGGACATGTTATGAACAATGCTGCTGCCCTGGGTCCTCATTTGTGGAATGAGGGGTAGGAGTGGGGACACCAACGCCACCGATTCTGTGCAAAAGAGCCTTTCCAGCTTGAACTGCTAGACGGGCCTGTGGATTCGGTTACTGTCTGGATTAAGTCCCAGGCTCTAGAAGGGCCACTCTTCTTTCTACCTCATGTGCCTGAGGGCTCTCAGCCCCCTCGTGATGCCCCGCCAGCCACTCTCCCCATCCCGCCCTGGATGTCCTCCGTCCCGGGCTTTCTGCAAGGGGGTCTGGGTGTGTGGGGCTGCAATTAGTGAAAGTGCTGCCTGGAGAAATGCAATTCTATTCTGATCCTGGGGGAGAAAAAAAATTGAGCAAGTCAATAGAACAGAACATTGGTCTTGGGATAATGGGCTCCTGATGGTAGATTAATGTCAAGGCCAAGCCAAGAAGTTTATTTTCAAAGCAGGAGATATTGATCAGGCGCCAGGATCCCATAACAATAACTCTTCTTTTATACAAAGTGATTGATGTGGAAGCGATGCTTTTGTCTGGCGGATATTGCCCAGGACGCTGCTGGGCTGCCCCTGTCTTCTGGGAGGTGGAGCACGCCAAGCAGGTGGGGGACACCTTACCCTGCTCTATTTTTGAACGTCTCCCGGGCAGTTGGCTGGGCTGGCAGCCTGCTTGCGCAGCTCCATATTAAACTCGCATTAGCTAACGAGGCTGCCTGTCCAGCTCCGCCTGGCAAGGAGCCTTCCGTAATGCAGACACGTGATCAACTTCCAAACCCTCTTCTCTGCTGCGACCCCGGGTTTCTTTGGCGCTGACCACGCTACCATCAGGCTGAAGGTTCCCGAGGGACTAGGGTGACCTTGATCTGCTGCTGGGGAGGACGTCCAGAGCCCCGAGGAGTCCTGGCTGCCCTGTCCTGCTCTGGACAGGACGCACTGATGTCCAACTCAGAATGGGAACTGCCTTTAAAGGGACAGACACACCTGTTCAGCTAAAGCTGTCGCCAACGCCCAAGTCCTTTGGAAACACCTGAGCAGCCTGGGAGGGGCCCAGTGTGAGGCACACCCAACCCGTCAGACCTCCCTCTGCCGCCCCAAAGGCACCTCAGCAGTCACCGCCCCCAAGGTGGCCGCTGGTTACAGGCAGGATCCCAGGTCTGGGGCCCGGGTGGGGAGGGTCTCCTTTCAAGGGCAGGATAAGAGCTGGAGGCAAAGAACAGTGTCCTGATTCACCCTGGTTGGGGAGCTGGTCATAACTGGCCCTGGGTTCCAGGCCACCTACCTGTGCACCTTCAGGGCCCTCCCCCATTCCTTCGCAGCTGAGGCACCTGCCACTCAAGACCTACGAACGCCACAGCACAGGGGTGACGAGCACGCCCCACTCTCCAGTCCCAACGCCACCTCTGCAGCTGTGGGGCGTCATGCAAGCATTCACCTGGGGAGCCGACCTCTCCTCATCTGGTGCTTGCCCTTTGACCTGGCACCATCATGGATTTTCCTATGGCCCAATTTCCCAAATGGAGAAACTGAGGCTCAGAGAGGGTTTTTCTAATGAAGTTGGTGGCAGACTCTGCCACCGACCAGAAGAATGACAGGGCCAGATGGGAGGTGGGCAGAGTCACAGGGCACCCTTGGGAGCCAGGCGCCCAAGTGTTCTGTCCTGCCCCAGCTAACACGCCGGCGCAAGAGTCCCACTGGTGGCTGAGAAGGGGGAGTCGCAGTGCTGGCTGCAGCTAGAATCACGCGTGGTTGGGCCCCATCTTATTTGGATGGAGACAAACACAGGCCACTGAGATGACCTTTTCACAGCCCCTCTCCGATGTCAGGGTTCTGCCCGGCCATGCAGCCCGGTCCCAGCAACCCCACCCCCTGCCCCTGCCTGCTCCAGCAGCAGCCTTTTGGGTTCACCCCAAGGAGTTTCCACACAGCCTGTCAGCCGGGCACTGGCGCCTCCCCCAGGAGCGGTTGGTCTCTCTCTGGAAGCGCCATGCCGCTAGACAAGTGCAAATCTAATTGTAAAAGCTTGCTCCCTATTCATTTTCATTGCTGCTTTGATTTATTTTATTAGCAAACTTCTTTTGTGTGATGACAGGCTTCATTACAGTGTCTATAAAAGACAATTACTTGCTCTTATCTCCTAAACTGAGGAGGAAAGAGACGAGTGGTGATGTGCATCAGGAAGACACAATGGGGCCCGGAGAGAGGGAGCAGGGGGGCGGGTCCAGGGAGGAAAGTGAGAGCGGGCGGGGCGGGGGTGGACCGTCTCTCCCTCAGGGAGCGGCTGCCTGGAAAGCCACCAGGAATGAGACGGCCACCCCACTGGGGAGGAGATGGCAGCCGGCCCTGTCTTCTGCTGTTGGCACCTTGGCTGAGGACCCCTATGGAGTTCAAACCCTATTCAGTTGCACTTTGGGGGAATAATTCAACAATTGCCACTGATTAGTCTGTGTTATCCGTGTGCCGAGGAGGAACATAGGGTAGCCGCTAAGGGTCAGTTCCAGAGTTGGACAGAACTGGGGTCTAAGCCAAGCTCCTAAGCAATTTTTGTGAGTCTGAAAGCCTCAGTTTGCTCATCTGTAAGGCAGGATGAATCTCTGTGCCCACCTCCTAGGGCTGTGGTGAGACCGAAAGGAGGTAATTCTGGAGCACAGAGAACTGGGAGCAATGCGCCTGGGGTTCACGGTGGCTGTCACTACTGGTGGGGGCACGGCGTGCATGCCACGCCCTTCCCCTCAGGAGAGAAGGAATGGCATCAGACCCAGAGGCCCAGTGAGGGGAAGTGCTGTCCCCGAAGTTCCTGAGCTCACAGATGGCAAAGCTGGTGTGGGATGGGGGCTGGGTCTCCAGACCTAGGCAGGTCTGAGGTCGCTAGGGAGACTGCGCTGCCTGGTTTAATCTTTGTAAAGCCTGGTCCTGACCCTATCATGGTCTTCCACAAGGACCCC